GGAGTGTGTTGATCGATCGATCCGATGTTGTTGTGGTTGTGGTTGTGGTTGTGGTTGTGGGATGGATGTTGATAAGGGCCGCTTGGAAAAAAAGCAGGTGATGCATATTATATCAACACAAGCAAGCAAGCAGGCAGGCAGGCAGGTGATGATGTGATGAGGAGGAGGACACCAAGGGCGCGCGCACCACACACTACAAGTGTCGAACACTACAAGTGTCGAAAGCAAAGGGCGCGACGCAAAGGTTCATCAAGGCGGGCAAAGACAAAAGACAAAAGTGCCCAAGACAAATGTCTGAATAAGCAGTCTGTAACGAAGATGTTTGCGGGTCAAAAGAGTAGACATGTATGCTTGTTGTTGTAGGTGCAAGTGCTTGAATGCCAACCCGGAGGAAGTAGTACCTAGCAAGAGAGCGCAAGCAACACCAACCGTCTTTGCGATTGGTGTTGCTTGCGCATTCTGCACGCGCGCCCCCGGGAAGGGGACGCGATGCTAGAGGGGGGATGGGGGGGCGAGATGCACTAGAATCTTTTCGTAAGAGAAAATTCCAGCACAAATCTTCGGAACAAGAGGCTTAATCTCAGCAGATCGTAGGACAAAGCCTACTATCATGCTTACAATACCCCGTTCCTTATCAAGTCGTCTACAAAGGATTTACCGCTCCCAACGGTAGAAATTGTGGTTCAGCGTTGAACGCAATTTTATGATGCTGGCCTTTCGGCTATCGCTATTCGCGTGACATCGGGAGCAAGTGCATCGCCACTTTTCAGCATGGATTCTGACTTAGAGGCGTTCAGTCATAATCCGACGGATGGTAGCTTCGGGGCACTGTCTGTTCAGACAACCCCATAAACCAATTATCCGAACTAACGGTTCCTCTCGTACTAAGTTAGGGGGGGGGGGGGGGCATTGGTCGCGAGTGTGTTGAGGTTGTCATTGCGGCGGAGCGCTCGGTGACGAACAACGACAACAACGCAAATTTTACACGAGGAATGGAAAACAGACAACTCATCATCATCATCATCATCATCAAAAACAACAACAACACCCTCACCGATAAAATGAATGCAACACACACGACAAGAAAAACGGCTAGCAACTACAACACACAAGAACAAGAAAAAAGAAGTGTGAATCGATCGATAGATCGGGCGGCCATGGCCACCTTCGTGGTGGCGGCGCTAGCTCGGTACAGGTCCAGGCTGTGGGTGTGCGGCACGACTTGGTCCTTCAGCCCGTGTAGAACGAGGGTGGGGCAGGTCGTCTCAGCTACCGCTTTCTGTCGCAAAGGGAAGAACATCGTCAAAAGCGAACAACAGACAAGATCGGAACACGGAGTACATTGATTACACGCTTGGAAACGGCGGGCTTCGGGGTACACGCCTCCACGCTTGGAAACAGCGGATGGGGGCGCGTTCAGAAATGCTGGGAAGTTCGAAAGAATAGGTCAGTGGGACTCGTCCACCGTCTTGATGTATCGAAGCTATCCACAGGCTTGGAAATAGCGGATGGGCGCGCGTTCAAAAGCAGCCGGCCATCGTGTTTCGATTTCATCGAAAGGTTGGGTCGGCAGGACTCGTCTCGCGTGTGTCAAAGCTCGAAATTTCGCGCCAAGATCCCGGAAGTGATAAATCACTTCCTCCACCATCACTTCGACACACGTCCCCTCCCCAACAACCAAAGTACAAACGATACCGTATGCGGACCTTATTGTCCCACTGGTTGAGGTTGAACATGGAGGCCAGCGTGCCCCCGACGATGCTCTCGGCCATGTCCCCCACCCCCGTGAACGGAGCCAGCAGAAACAGCGCCTGCGACGGGGCCATCACCACCACCACCACCACCACCGTCACCGCCATCATCGCAGACAAACACACAAGGGACAGAGTGATGGGTCCGAACGTACAGTACACGACGCCCTTTCCGACCCCGCTCTACACGTACGTAAATCCACGTGCGATGCGAACAGCAACAGCAACGGACTGCAACTTCATGGTATAGCGCACTAAATACAAATAAAACAGAGTTTGTTAGAGCGATTGGCGAGGGTAAGTAAATTCACATCACGTGTTTTTCTCGTGCCGGGTGTTCCTGCCGTTGCAACAGCAACCCCAAATATAACGATTGCAGCCAACGAACCACGCTGCTGTAGACGGCCACTCACCCCCGGCTGGAACTCCCTGGCGAGGCATGCCGCGGGGCCCGAGCCCAGAGACCTTCCCATCACCACTACCCGATCCGCCGGCCATCCCATGACTTCCGTTATGTGCAGGAATGCCACCCTCACCGCGGCGTTGACGCTGTATTGATGGCGCGTTGTCATTGCGCGCGTTTTGTACGACCGCCGCGGCCACCGCCCGAAAAAAGCAACAAGAAGAAAAGAAAATCAAAAAGAGACACGAGCACGTGCGCGAGCGAGCGCGTGCGGGGCAGCAAGCATTGAGGCAGACAAAAACACACCGGCAATCGGGGGTGACCATCGAGTGGGCATCAGTGCTGTGGCTTGTTGCGTTCGGTCGTGGCTTTTCACGGTGCTGCTGGTGTTGCACTTACCAGTGGTGAACAGCAGTACTCGCTACTGGCCTTTTCGTACCAACGAACATGTCTTTAGGCACATGCCTTTAGGCACATGCCTTTAGGCACATGCCTTTAGGCACATGCCTTTAGTCCTTAGTCTGTTCATGCACATAGGAAGGAATAAGGAATGACTCGTTGTAATATCGACTGAAAATCAAAGTCAGCCCGCCAGCCTCGGTATGCCCAACCTCACGAAGAGGTCCCTAGCAACTCCAACAACGACAACCTCGCCGTGGTTCAATTTCCAGCTCTTCGTCAACGACTCGTCAACGTCAACAATGCCCCTTGCTCGATAGCCTCAACCCAACCTGCATGCCAAGAAATAGCGCACCGGCATCGCCACCAACACCGACACAACAAGCGCTGCCAACAACAATTGCAGCAGCAGCAACAACGGCAGCAACAACAACAACACCACCACCAACACAACCACAACCACCACCGCCGCCGCAGCACCACCAACAACAACACCAGCAACACCAACACCAGCACCAACAACATGAACCACAAACATCGACATGATGCATGCATTCGTCACGGTTCTTCGTTCCCTCTCACCTCTGCTCGTTCGACTCATCGTGGGCCATAAGGCCGTACCCCGGGTACTCCACTCCGATGACGTGACAGTCCAGCATGTCCCCAAGTGTCTCAAGGCTCCGCCTAAAGAAAACAACGAGAGCAACGGCGCGCAAACACAGAACACCCCCGTGATTGAAATGAATGATCGATGGATTCAGTTGTTCCAGGCGAGGCAATCACCCCCTTCCATTTTCAGCGAAGGTCAAGTACGCTCCACTTCCCTTGGCCATCGTGCGGGCGTAGTGGGGTGTATGGCCGGAAGACGAGCAACTCAGGCTATTGAAGCGGGGTCAGTCCACGTGCGCTCATATTCCATTCCTGCCCGAGCGAGCACTGGGGATCAGTCTTCCGTAAACGGCCACTTCCCACGACATGAATACCTTGGGGGGAAGGGTCGAGGTCGACTAAAATGGCTCTTGTAATGACCACCAATCATGCAACCCCTTGCGAGACCGGCTCCTGGCCAGGAGATATACACGGTTTATCCTCCGGTCTCTTCGATATCACACTGCCTGCCCTCTGTGTGTGGGGGGGGTGATACAAAACAAATAACGTGTGTGACCTGTTCCTGTACAGGGCACAGCACGTACTCTCAGCAAAACTCGACATCCTCCGTCCCGCATCCGGGTGGTAGGCAGAGGTCAGGCCCGCCGGCTGCTCACCTGGTCATGCCGAGGTCGGACGAGGTGCCGTGGCAGAACAGCAGCACCTTAGAGGCCCCGCCGATTCGCTCCAGCGCCAGGCACACCGACGAACCCTGGCGCCAGACAAAACACACACAAACAAGAGGAACACAAAGACAGGACTATGACGTGCATGATTCACAGAGCGCGACCGAGTGATGTTGGTGGTTGCCCCCGGAAGGAAGGATCGAGAAGGGTGCTCGGATCACCACTCACCACGGTGGGCAACGGGATGGTTCCTTCTCTCTCTCTCTTTCTCTCTCTCTCTCCCTATCTCTCTCTCCCTCCCTCTAACTCGTCTGCGCATCTATCCAATATATCTAAACATCTACCTTGCGTATACTTATCTATTTCTCCATACATCTTACCGGTATCTGCTTCGTATCTGCGTATGGCTGCATCTCTGCATGTCTGTCTTGTGTGTATATTCTGTCTGACTGAATGACACTGCCGTCTCTCTTATTTATCCCTCTCACCAGAACGCAAAGCTCTCCCGGCCAGCTGGTGGCCACGTAGGTTGGCTTGGGCGGGCGGAAGAGAAACATGTCGGAGGGCGACAGGCTGAACGACGTCTGGCGCTGAAAATAACGCCTGCCGGGTGGAGGGCGGGGACGGTCGCTTGCCCTCCCCGAAAGAATCTCCATCTAAATTATAACAAGTGCTTAGAAAAAAGCCTTCTCCGGCCTTGGCCAATTGAAGAATAGCTTTCCGTTCGCCTCCGTGGCGTCTTTCTCTGCCTTGGTCAGCTGTGTATCCCTTGTCGCGTCTTTCTCTCTCTCTCTTCCGCAGCAGTCCGGCGACGGCTCCAATCTTCTTCGTCTGCGGGGAGTGATGAGAAAGGACCCCCCACACGCGCACGGAATGGTTAATCGGGTGCATAGCCGGGTACGGGCGCGGTCGGCGAAAAAAAAAATGCAACACAAATCGGGTAGATAGCTCTTGATTGTTGTAAGCGTATTTTCTAAAAAGAAACGATCATTCTATGTAGTGTCCAGTTTCTTCCAAGACAGAGAATGATCCTCCTGTGTCGGGACGTCGTTTCCAAGCTCAGCTCAATCGTATCAAACAGGAAACTGGGATTGTTTCTCCTATTTGTACACACGCGCGAATCGTGTGCAAAAGGCGACTTTGGTTTGACCAGTTCACGGCACGGAACAAGTTCATATGTTCGACTTCACCGTCGACGAGGGAATTGAACGAACGGCTGATGAACCCTTCCACCGATGAGAAAATTAGGGCACACACACCAAAACATGGTGGTGGCTTTCCTCCATGTGTGAGCGACCGTCGCTGACCCGTCCGGCAAGCAGACACGTGCAATGTTCCGACAGGTGTATACACCTACATCTACCAGCAGGCATACTATATAATTTAGGACAAATTAAGGACACGCCAGCCCAGCCGAAGTGTATCATACCGCATGCATATGCATTATTATATGTTGTAATTTAGCGCTCCCGGAATACGATGAAGAGATGAAGAGGGCCTCCACTCACAGTTAAAGACTTCAATACATCCCCTTTGACCGTGGTTATATTTCGAACGGGTTGTAGTCTCTCTGCGTGTTTCATGTATTTTTCCTGAAGAGGCAGGGTGGGTTTGACGAGCTTGGCCGGCCGCTAAAACTACTACAGGTATTATATAGGGCTATAGCGCCCGCACGCAAGAACTTGGCAAGTTAAGAGAAGTCGATACAACAGAAGTACTGCTGCTGTAGCCTCGAAGAACTCAAAACCTAACGACTTGATGATCATCCGATCATCCGTGTGTGTGAGCCCGAGGTCTAAGGACCCCAAGCTACAACCTATACAACCACACAAGCAGCGTGTTGTGGTAGCGGCCATTTGGGAGCCCACGAGAGGAACTGAGAACCCAACGCCTGCGCCAAAAAGTAGAGAGGTGTGGGTGCTTTATCTGTAAAACGTGCTTTCTTTGTCGATACATAGGGTCAACAGCAGGAGGAGTGCATACAGACCAGGTATGTGTATCCCCAACAAGAAAAAGGACAACGAAGCATGTTTCAGAGGGTTCATTCAACATATAACCGTCGCGGGAGCTCGTGGTAAGAAGCGAAAGAATCATGCACGTGGAAACAGACCGCCAAATTACTTGCTGAAACCTCTGGTCGGGATGGTAGGGTCTCCGTGGTGTGCTCCATGATGTGCACCTGAAGAGTTTGGAGTATCCATTAGTGGGATGCTTTGCAGTATCTGTGAATACAAAGCTTCTTGCGGGAACTAAATAGATACTTTACCTGCTAGATACACTCCCCGTGCGTGGGCGTTTGCCCACATGTAGAGAAAACTACATGTTCGTCCCTTCCCCCAGAATTTCAGCTTTTTGTTTTCCAGTCAACCAATCAACCAATCCCCTTCGTCCAGAGTGGAGATCGCCCGGCGAGAGGAAAGTCAACACGCACGTATTCGTGCTTCTTTGCTTCTGGTACAGCCCGCCACTGAGCCGAGAATTTCCAGCATTGTATGGCAGCACAGCACGTTTGCTGGACCAGCCAGCTGTGTTCTAAAATTCAAATCAGCCCTAGCGTTGGGTGCGCTGCTTGTAGTCAGCTGGTCGGTGTAGTCAGCAGTGCAACCTGCACTTTTGCTGCTGTCGTGCTTTCAGTTGGTGTGGTCTGCTGCTGGTGTGGGCGCGATAAATAACAACTTGTTTTACACGCATGCTTGAAAGACTACACCCCACCTGTCGTTCTCGCCCGGTCTCTCTCCCTCGTCAGAAGCCAGCTGGGGCAGAGCGCTATACTAGAGCGCTGACAGCTGAAGAAGGAGATGGGGCCAAAAGGAACACATCAAAAGTGTGAGCAAGACACCAAGCAAATCAAATAAAATCGGAAGAAAATGGGGAGATCATACCGCCCCCCATGCAAATTGTGGCATTAGCAACTGCGGGGCCGCATCGACGGCGCGTGCGGTGTGTACTACTACTAATACACAGCATATTTGCGTGTTGTTGGTTGCTGGATTGTTGTTGCTGGAGCACGCACCCCGGCCCTGCAGCAAGAGCGGGGTATTAGGGTAGAACGATGCCGGGAGAGGGCAGGGGTTCCGGTGATCCGGGTGCAGGGGCACCGAAGACGAAAAAGGGCAAGAAATCCGCTGCTGCTGCTGCTGCTGCTGCTGCTGCTGTTGGCAAGAAGGGCACGAAACCAACGCGATCACCATCAAGTTCACCACGAGCAAAGGCTGCGAAGAAAGGAAAGGGCTCCGCAGCCAAGAAAGCTGCAGCAGTAGCAGCAGTAGCAAAGCAGGAGAAGGAGACCGATGGCGATGCACCCGCGGCAGTAGAGGAAGAAGGCCAAGAGGAGAAGGGAGAGCAGGAGGCGGGCCAGCAGCAGCAACAACAACCGCCCGATCAAGACAAACAGCAGCAGGCTAAACAAGCAACGCCGGAGGGGGAGGAGGAGGAGCAACAGCAGCAGGTGGTCGACGCAATGGACGAGGAGGAGGAGGAGGAAGAGGAAGACGCTGACGAGGTGAGTCAGTCCGACGGGTGCAGCGCCTCTCTCACCTTTAGCCTGGGCCGTCTCTGCTGAAAGCGTATCCCTGGTGGTTACACAGACAAGCGCGGTGCAGTGCGTGCCGTTGTTGCATTTTTCGTGAACTCGGTCGTGATGGCCGTCAGTCAAGGCAGACCTATCACATGCATACAACATATCACATCACAAGTAGAGGCAAGACGCAAAACCAGTGGGGTCAGTCTGTACAGCTGTGCAGCATGCTGCACTCATGTCACCACAAACGACGACGGATCCAATCTTTGGTCAGAGATACTTCTCCAGCACACACCCCATTTTCAGTCCCCCTCCGCCGCGACCCCCTGCGGGGGGAACAAGAAGTGCTATGCATATGTATAGATCTGCTTTCAGCAAATACCCACGGTTCGGTCTTTATATTTTTAGTACAGGTCTACACACAGATGAATTTGTTTCCGATTTTGTACGAAAGGAAATTAATAACGAGCGGCACCTGAAGTATGTATAATCGGTGAGGGATTCGCCATTCATACAAAATGTAGTGGTGATGGTATGACTCCGACTACACCCTGTGCATGTGCAATGTTATGGTACCTGTGCAAAAGTCTCAGTAAAAGGGTGATCTATTAGCAGGTGCATGCATTTGGGTGGACACGCGGCCAGAACGCACGCTGCTGTTGCATCAGGAGCAGATTGCACGTCGCACGCGACTTCCACTACAATACGTAGTAGTGGTCAAACAGCAGGAGCATCGTCAAAACATGCCCGCGAAATTTCCACGAAACTTCTCACAACAGTGGTAGGTGGGAGCGCCCGTCGCTCTCACCTCGTAGCCCATGCTCAGCGAAGGCACCACATTTTTTGTCTTCGCTTTGAAGTATTGCCGACACAAATCCCGGACACACCCAGCCCGCCGGATCGCAACCTTATCCTTTGCACGAAATGAAATCTCGATGTACATTTCTACGGACGGTTGTCGTGGACCCTGCAACCACCCGTAGCCTTAACGTTTCCCGGCATGTTGGTGCGCGGCGCGATGAACAGGGCGAGATCGCGCCGGTGCTCGGCGAGGAGGAGCGGGCAACTATCCCGACACGCAGACTCCTCAAGCGGCAGGCGTCTGCTGCCGGAGAGTTCGACTACGGCGTTATCGGCAACCGCGCCTCGGATAGGTAGGTGGGGGTACTTCATATCCATCCATGATACTAGCTAGGTATGGGGGGGGTAATGAGCCGCGTGGTGCGACTCAATACCTTGCAGTAGTCTTATCTGCGATGCTGATGGTGCACGAATCCCGACATACACCAGCGTGAATCGTTTGTGGTGCAGCTACGCGTGCACCACCGCGGGACAGCACGCGTGAGCACGCGTGCGACCGGGTTGTATGTGCGGCCACCGTTCAGATTTTTGCACTTTACATGCGATTGTTTCTCTTCCGTTTTGATGCACATGCACGATGAAAACAAATTTTGAAGTCTTCCCGCTGTGCGGACGCAACACGCACATCTGGGCATGCATCTGGAAGAAGCACGCATGCGGCATACACCTGGCGGCGATCGTATCACACATCACGCCGTCGAGGAGCTCGACCAGCAGCGTAGACATAGGATTGTGACACGACAGATGGCAAATATTGCGTCAGGCTCACAACTTGCCCGCCACATTCGTCTCAAGCCTTCCGAGTTTCCCGCCAAGCGAAAGCAAGCAGTCCAGCATGAACCAAAAACAACAAAAAGTCGTTGATGGTCATGTGACGTCATGACTTTGATGCGAGAGACACCCTGCGGCAGCAACAACAGCATGCAGGGCACGGCTTTTGCGAAGACAGTCAGTAGCGCGGCGCAAGTACGCAATCTGAACCGATCCCGCGGGGAACCATCCTGATAACGCACAGCAGCAGCAGTCGACCCTCACGCCCTCGACGGTTTGCTCGATGATGGTAGGTGTGACCTGGACTTGGGAAGGTGTGTTATTTGTGTGTTCAATTGTGATAATCGGTTAGCTCTTTTTGGAGCAGTCGGTTGGACCCACTCAACATCAACAAGCACCCGCCAGGTTGCACATGGCGCATGCCTACAGAATACCCACGGTGCACAGGTCGTATAGGCCCGGCCCATCCTGGTTTTAATGGCTGGTCTCAGACCAGCGTCTCAGCGGTGATGCGTTAGTTGGTGGTGTTCTTGTGTCTCTGTCGGTGTTTCTCAGCGGTGACTGCGTGTTTTGGTGTTGTTGCGTCTCTGTCTGTGTTTCTTGTCCTGGTTTGAATCGCGCGCGCGATCTCCGCTTTTGTATACACGCCTTTTCGCGTAGAAACCCCGGGGTTGGGGAGCAAGATCGCCTACGAATATAGGCCACAAACGCTTGTGTAGCACGGCCATCTGCTATCAGAGCACGACCAAACCAGTGTGACGAAGAGCGCGCTATTTTTCTTCTTTCTCAGAAGCGAACAGATCGTCAACCGGCTCCCCATAGATGTGGTTCTGATCCCAAAGGTGCGATATTTCGGCTTCCCCGTAATCAAGTTTTGGGGCCCCTGTATCGCGCGGCGCAACTTTGGCCGATATATAGTGTAGAGCCTTTTTTTCTCTCCTGGGGACGAAGGGAAAAAAGGTCGCTCGCTTCGCTCGCTCCGCGGCTCATTACAAGATCTCATTCCGGACTGGGTTAGAGAGAGCACCGCGACAGACAGGGGGTGATGCAATGCAAGAACATGCAAGAGGCAAGCACTGCTGTTCGAACCGAAAGACAGATCAGTACCTAGTCTTACACCCAAAGAGTGTACATACACGTAGTCTTACAAGGCACGCCCCCGGAGTGGGCTCTTCGGAGCATATAGTGTTATTTTAGTATTTTAGTTTCATCAAGGCGTGATGTAAGATGAAAGTGTGAAGCATGGTTATGTTGGTGAGAAGCAATTGCCAGCTGCCATCAGTGGAGTCTCTGCCTAAAACTCGAAGAGCCCAGCGAACCTCAAGGATCCTATAAGAAAATGTCACAAATCTGTATACAGAACCTTACTTCATATTCCTTCGTTAGGCGCATAGGGTAGGCAATACAAGCCTATGATGCCGCTCCTACAAGTTTGTTGGTGTTTGCGCGGAGGTGGTGTTCTCGGAGTGGTGCTTTAACATGTCGAAGAATTGTTCGGTCCTCTTGATCTTTTTCGAAAGTTTCGATGGAGCTCATCGACGTCATGGGGGTACTGCACACTCAGACGCTCCTTTGCACACGGGTGTCTGAGTGCGCCGTGCCCCGCGGCGTCGGTGAGCTTCATCGAAGCGGTCGAAAAAGATCAAGACGACCGAAAAAGTTCTTCGGGGTGTTAAGGCACCACGCCAGCACCGCCCACCCACTCGCAAGCACCAACAAACTCGTAGGAACGGTGCCGGCTAGACGCTCACGGAGTAGGTGTCAACAAACCACGGGTGACAACCGCAAGAAGAGGGGTGGTCGGTGTTCTACGAGTGTTGCATAACGGTCTCTCTCGACTGCGACGTGACAGACGACGAGGAAATTGCAGGAGGTGAGGAAGTGACAGCACTCCGCCCGCCTGGCAAGCAGAACGGTGTTACGTCTCTCTTTTTACGTGCGCACGTGCTTCTAGACGAGGCAAGAGGTAGTCTGGAGAGATTGGGGCACGTGTTCTACAACCTCCATTGTATAACACGTGCGGCCAGTTTACACACTGTACGATCACCGTTTTTTTCGATATCGATTTAGAGCCCATCCGCTTATGCATCGTACCCTTGGCCGCTCCCTCCAGGCTGCGGCGAGCAAGCGTTTCACGCGGAGTGTAATTTCTGTTGCTGGGTTATGTTCCGGGAAGGGGGGGGGGGGGAGTTTACAAAACCGAGCTGGGAAGCACCCCCCTCCTCCCCTCCTCTTCCCTATGATGTGCCTTGACCACGAGTATGAAGCGTCGAGTGGTGTAGCTGGGCAGGTTGGAGGCCCACTATTATCCTGTTGGTTCTCCCGTAAGTTTGGCGGCGGTTTGCACCTTTTCTTAACATTTTGTGGTCGACACAGATCGAGTCATACCGCTGTCTGTCGAACCCCCCCCCTCTCGTGTTTTTCGCCGCTCTTTGCCGTTCTCACTTGCCCGTTCAGGTTCAAGACGTACGTGAGGCGCATTGAGCTGGACCCCTGGGATACGGATGCCTGGACGGGGCTGGTTAAGGAGGCCCAGAACAACAGGGGAGGCGGCATGAGCCTGAAGGATGTCTTGAGGTAGGTCCTGCAAACGTGTGGCAAGATCAAAAAAGACGAAACCCTGCTGTGCCATTTCTCTCCTGTGAGTCCCCGGCTGACACAGTACATCAAATGTGTGCCGAAATGTGGAGGCTGGCGCCAGAGTGTAAAGTGGACGAGAACACACCGCACGCACACAAAAAGCATCGGCGAAACGACGGGGCATCCGCACCATTGCGTGACGCCTCGCCACTTGAGATTGGGCACAACCGGGGCTTAGGCATGGCCACCGGAATGCAGTGCCATGAAGTTTCGATTGCACTTATTGGGGGGGGGGGGGGGGGGCGGCAAATCTTGCCTTGAATTTCGTCCGCCATCCCTATCTCTTCTGCCTTACACCCGAAGACCCAC